ATACGGGCGCGCGCTGTATTGTGGTTGGTTAGGATTCTTTACATAATCATCTAACACACAGGCCTGCGAATGTTACCAAATAATCGAAATAGCATTTTCACTAAAAGATGTACTATTGATTAAATGGACAATAATAGAATAGTATTGTCTTCTCTTATAGAGATACTACCTTGGGAGGTTATGACATTCCTAAAGGCTACCTTTTGATTCTCAACGGGTATGCCGTTCACCACAGCTCTAGTGAATGGGATAAACCAGACATGTACACCCCAGAAAGGTTCCTTGACGAACAAGGGATTTACAACTCCAATAATAAGAACTACCTGCCATTCGGCGCGGGCCGCCGACATTGCATTGGTGAATCCTTGGCAAAAAGTGAGGTATGTAGAAACAAATTTTAAAACAGTTAAGGGACTGTTCCTTGATTATAGACAAAAGGGGACGGTGTTTAGGCAGGGGWGGGGGTATAATTTTCAAATCAGGCTGTTAGTAGGGGTGCACATTCTTCTTCGGTGAAATAATTATTATTATCATTATTATTATTATCATTATTATTCTTATTTTTACACCATTAAACATAAGGGGTGTACGTTTATTAATTGTTTTCCCTTGTTTTGTGAGAGTGCATTTTTGACTTGCTGCTTTAAACGGCCTAACCCCTCCCCTCTTGACAATAATTAACGAACAGTCTCTAGGAATAATTTTTCGTTGCATGAGGGAATGCAGTAACTGGTGCTAAATCAAAAACAAAACATACATATCAAAAACACATCAAGAAGGGTCAACAGTATTTTGAGTTCGCAATTTTAAAATGAATGAATTAAAAAATCACCACAGGGGCCCCACAGCTTAGGCATTTATGCAATACCATGACTACTTAATTTTTCCATGGTTTGCATGTTATTTCTATAGAGTGCTTTTTATCATAGAGTTGCAAAAATATAAATTTAACACCGTAAAAAAGTACGTAGGTGAAACAACGTATTGTCGTTTCGGACGTTAATCCTTCGTCGGAGTAATGGTATTATTATTTATCTTTTTACAAAACTGTTTCTTTAGAAACACCAACGACGAATCTCACAGTAGTTTACCGCTAGTCCCAGCCATTCTGTGCAATAACACTCTCTTCTGTTGTATTTATTCCAGGAGAGTGACCATTTCTAGTAAATGTTTTATATAATAAAATCTTTTRTTGCTGGTATTTGCAGGTGTTCTTGCTGACGTCGAGACTCCTTCATCAGTTCAGCTTTTCCAATCCTCCTGGCGAGCCAATGCCGAGTTTCAAGGGTTCACAGGGGGTGGTTATCCAGCCTGCACCATTCAAAGTTATAGCGAAGGAAAGAGCCTAAAGTAATTAACTCTGTACATTCGCAGATAGTAAAACAACTACGATAAACATATTTTAGCCCTTTTAATGACAAAACTGTAATCTCAAGTGTGTTAAGGSCAATTAACAGTATTTTGAATTCAAGTTTCTTTCTTCTTTCCTTTTCTTTTCTTTTCTTTTTTCTTTTCTTTTTTTAATGCTTCAAATTTCCTATACAGCGTCGGAAAAAATATTTCCTAGTTTTACCTTTTCAAGAAAATTCGAAAAAAACGTATTCTGCAAAATGGTCACGTGACCTGTTTTGACCTGTTTTAACCTGTTTTAACCTGTTAAAATTTTAATTAAAACAGGTTACATATTAAAATATCTCTCTAATTAGTAAGCAAGGAAGCACAAAGTGAAAGACAGAAAGTGAAAGACAAGGGACAAAGGTGTTCGTTCCCGCGTATGTTTCAAACTCGCGACCACATAAACAAAGTCACGTGAAATATCACGTGATAAGTGTTTTGCTGGTTAAGGGGAATCACAATGTAAATGCCTATAGACCCCTTGCAGTTCATGGGAATGCAGCTACAACTGGAGGACAAAACAATGGATTCTAGTTCCCAAGAGGGCAAAAATCTTTTGTTTTGCCCTCCAGATGAAGCTGCTTTGACGTCACATGCAAGGGGTCTATAGTTGTGGAAAGTTTTGTGTTCGGTAAAACTAGGAATAGATGCTATGAATTTTTATGTTTTCTCCGGCTTATTTCGATCTTACCCAGGCCTTAACATACTTGAGATACTTCGGTGCATAACCAAAGAATAGCTGCTATATATTCAAAATTTGACGTGAAACATTTCATGATGGTTAATCACCTATGTTTTGATGTACAATTATTTCAAAAAACGTTGTCGGGGATAACGGCGACCATGGGACAATGGTTGCCATGTTTAACTTGCAAAATTTTACTTGCTGGGTTAACTTTGTGTATTGAAAATGGTTACTAAATGGAGCCAATGTCTACCATAGACTATTTTACAGTACAGATCAGTTGTTATTTCGCATCAATTACAAACCCCATGACTCCTTTCGGTCATGCAATTGCCGTGTTTGACAATTGACATTGGACATTTTTTTCCGGCAACATTTTTTGAAATAGGTATATAAACAACTCGAAATGAAAAGCAACTTAGCATGTTGTTATGATAATTGTATACACCTCAATATTAAYGATTTTTATAAAATTGTAAAAGTATTATGCACTTCAATAAGTGATACAGTCATATTCTCGCACAAGTCMATTTTGCTTGATAATTTCTTGCTGAGATGATGAGTTTGTACATGCTCATTATCATGTATTTAGAGTCTAACAGTTTGATGGTTACCTGATAAGTAGACCATCGATTCTGTGTACGTTATAAATTTTTGATGAAACATAAATGCTGTTTTTAAGAAATTGAATAAAATGATATTAAAGAATC